CTCGGTAGTTTTTTTTTTTTTTTAATGGGTGATAATGGAATGGTAACCCCATCCGCGCTATCGGTATACACCGGCGGGGCACCAGTGAAGGATGATAAGTGAGGATGAAGCAGGTCAGTTAGTCCATAGTGACGAATTCAACAAGAATTGTTCTCGATGGTTTCCAGGGGGAACCACGTGGAGATCGACCTGATAGGACATATTGCTAGCAATGGGGCAGTCAAACTCTATTGCTAACAATCCCTTCCCCCCCCCCCTTAGTAGTAGTTAGTAGGTATACAGACGATTCAGTAAAACTCCAACCGTTGCAAAAGTAACATTGTATTCATCAACGTTATGAACATTATCTGAGTCATAAAGTCGCCGAGACATTGGTATTTTATAACCATACACCTTCCGGTTTTAATTATTATTAGTTAATAATAAAAAAATGCCCAGCAGTGGACTGCAGTGAGCTGATTGTGAAGTATTAAAAATATAGATAAAATAACTTGTTAATTTTTACTATTGTCTTTGAAGTATCTACGAAAATGGTTTAGATCGTAAGGTACATAAAATACACGTGGAATTTAGGATTATTAATGAAATAGAACACTTGTAGATAACGTATCAAGATAAAACATATCATATACCAGTTTTTTAAGTTAGACCTTCAGGAATAACAGTTTTATTACATTAGTAAGACATTGGTAGGTATTTATTTATTCAGGTACAGCTAACAGTCATACAATTCACAATTATTATGAGAAGCTTTATAACTAAATAATTGTATTAAAATATTTAAAAATATTATTACAATTACTCGTATTAAATTGAACATCTAATTTATATATATCTTACTCATAAAAAATGACTATTCAAACGTGATTACTATTTTTTACTTGAATAAAAAATATCTTAATTTATTTATTTATTTGTCTAAGTGGATGTACATTCAAAGCGTCACGTGTGTAAGCGAATATCCGCGGTGAAGGTCACCAGCGACCAGCGGCCACTCGCCGTGTGGTGAGCGCACACTGACGAATTTTAACAAAAACAAAACAACAAATGTGTAAAATGTCTGTTGTAAATCCTTCTTCTTACTAATATTGTAAGTGTGAGAGTTTGTTTGTTTGTTATCTGTTAATACCATGGTATATGCACTTTATGTAAGATGGAGAATGACATAGACTAATATTTATTTCATATATTTAGACATCGTGACAATTTTTTCTATACATTAAAATTTAAATAAATAAAATATCGTTAATAATTATTCCGGTCAACTATGGTCATTATTTATATTTAATTTCATTCTTTTTTTAAACAATCATCATCATCATTTTAGCCATTATCCGTCTACTGTTGGGCATAGGCCTCTCCTGTAAACTACCAGTAAACAATCTATACTTATAATAAATCTGTAGAGAGGGCAATTCTGTATATGAAATATAATTTCAAAATAACAATCAAAGGCTGATTAGTGATCGATACTGATGCCAAAAATGTAATCAGTAAAGTTTTTGTCTGTCTGTCTGTATGTTCGATATATAAACAAAAACTACTCGACGGATTTTAACGAAACTTGGTACAATTATTCTTCATACTCCTGGGCAGGTTATAGTATAATTTTCATCACGCTACGATCAATAGGAGCAGAGCAGTGACGGGAAATGTGTCTGTTACATCAAAACCACTGAACCGTGAGGAAGGACATAGGCTACTTATTTTACGAAAAACGACGGAATCGCGGACGAAGTTGCGGGCAACAGCTAGTAATGTAATAAAATTCATGAGAGCAGAATTAGATACGTTTAGTAAAGAATCTTAATGTATAAATATTTACGTTGTTACTATGATAAAACTGATCCGATATGAGGAGGATCTAATCATTATCATTTATCAAAAATAATAAGTACAATAATGTATAAATAGTATCGTAGAAGTAATGTTTTTTTCGTGTTATCTTTTATGTTTTTTGTTGAAGGTTCTGATAAAGAAGTGTTCTACATATCATTAATAACAGATATATATTAATTAATCAATTTAGTATAATTAGATTTTTACCATCACAATATTAAGATTTTGTTTTAAAAACCTATTTATTTATTGTGTTCTAAGTCTAAAGTGTGCAATATGTAGTTTACAATAATTACAATCCGCGACGCAATAATAAACGTGGGTACATGAACCTATTAAGTGCGGAAAACTGGACGACGCGACGACTGGCCCCAAAGTGTTATCTAACAAACGTACTAGCGTTTAATTACGGAATAATTATCTGAATAACTGTAACAGCTTAACAGCGATATTATATCATTACCCCTTTTGGAATTATAAACGTGAATATATTTATATACAGGCTCGTCTAGTAAAGTAATAGTGTATATCACAGGTTAGGGAGACTATGTGTACATAAAGCCTAATTTATATTACGTCTTTTATAATTCATTTATTAATGTTTTGCTCTTTAAAAATGTACATATTGCTTCAAAAACAAACCAGCTGATTTAATTGTTACTAAATAAATCTATGATGCACGAGAAGATTCGTAAAGGCATTTATTTAAATTTAAAATACGAAAAATTTCTTCTTCAAGTTTCGTAACAAGTTATGTTTTGCAGTCAGATCTGCAACTAAAAATGGCAGCTTCGATATTTACAAAATTAATATAGGGCCTAAAACATTGTACTGATTACAAAAAAAAAAAAATATGAAAAACGATTCAGAATTGAATGTACAACAGGAATAACATATAAACATAACGCATAACATAGCATAAGTTACAAATTAAAAAATTAAAAAAAAAAAACAGTCAAATCAAATTGAGACTATCCTTACTTTGGAAATAAAATTGAGCCCGAAAATAATCCAGATCGATCCGGCCATCCATAATTCACACCTAATGAACTCGTTTTGGATAAAACGCATCACTGTTATGTGTACGCTTTAACGACCTAGGTGGTGTACCGGTTTAACACGCCGCTACAATTTTGATCGTTGCAGGTTCGATCCCTGCATAATACAAACATTTATATTCATGAATATGTTTATTTATATTGGTCTCGGTATTTTCTATGTATAATAGGTACGTACTTACAAAAAATATATAGGCTTAAATATATGCTTGTCAATTGTTTAGTATCCATAATATAAAGAAGTTTACATGTCTACATATTTTTTTTTCTTTGTTTGGGAGTCCAAAAGGGCTACTCAAAATATTAAAATATATGAATCCAAGCGGGGTATCATATAAAAGAACTACATTTCGTTTGCACTTTTTAAAATGGTTATTTTTTATTTTTATGCTGCGTAGGTTTTTCCTTTTTATCTCCAACGTTTGTGAAGCGAAAAATCTAAAAAAACATAACAATGTTTTTGAAAAATACCAAAAAAACCTTCACAAACAAATTTATGGTCTAAAATAAGGAAGTCTGAATTGCGATAGTAATAATAACAATTACTAGGTTTTTATTTCATGTAATAAAGGCAATAAACATGTTTGTATGTATAAAGTAATTTTATCTCATATTTATATGTTTAAATATTATTTTATCTAAAAAAAACAATAAAAACCTGTTTATATATTTTTTATATACCTACTAAAATCTCGGTATATGAGTTCTATTTGCACTTGACTGGTTTTGGATTAAGATAAAGTTTATCTTTTTTTTTAATTAAATGTCATTAAACGGAAAAATCTTTTTGTTCTAGTTAAGTATTTATTGTTGTTTCAATAAAAACACACGTTAAAATTGTTTAATAAATAGATATTCTATGTATTAAAGAAAACAGATAATTTTTTTATATGTTTATGTATTTATAAAAACAATGTATTAAATTATATCTAGTACTAGCAATAGAAGCTATGCTTAGTATGTTAATTGTCCAGTGGCATTTATTCCTTCATTTATTAATGTAGTCAGTTTGATCACAGGTCTGTATTAAAGCTACATACGAATATATTTATATAAAATACATAAATATATACTATACATGTTATGTTATAAAATGCATAAACATATACTATATATATATTATTTTTTAATTAAAACATACATACTATATGTAAGGAAATATTTACCATGGGAAATATTCAAATTAGATAGATAGATAATTTTAATTTTATTTGCATTACTTTCAGCACACAAATTGCAACATACATACACAAAAAAAGCGAGATAACATAAATGGCAAAAAAATACATAAAACCAAATGCAACTTTCGTTTGTAAGTGTGCCATAGCAATACAAGGGTGCCATACAATTAAGGATAATTATACATAATATAAGCTAAATCAGTTTTTTTTAGAATATTTAAGCAAAAACTACTATATCAAATTGGATGCAGTTTTCGCAATTGTGTTCCTAAATGTCTAACATAAAATCTAATGTATCTACCTTACTTATGCTTTATTCCGAAATCCACGCATAGGTATAAAGTCATGGACGAAAGCTTTTAATACATTCAGTTTCCCTTGACTGTCGTAGGAAGCAAATATGGGAAATAAATGATCCAAGGGATGAGCAGCAGTATCCCTCTTAAAACATCACTAAAAGTTTAACTGCTGTTGCCAACACGTATGCCAACCGTGACAACTATTGGCAAAACTTCCCTTATGGGAAATGCCTGTGCTCAGCAGTGGTCACTTAACGGCTGATACGATAATGATAATATATCTATTCTTAACAATAAATATATTCTATTAATAGGTAAATATTATTAATGTAAAAGACGTAAAAAATGTTTAGATGATGAATGAATGAAAATTATACACAGGTGAGCAATATTATAAATTAACACATACTATGCTTTTTATATTGATTCACAGAAGAAAGGCTATTGTTTACTGTTATATTTATATATATCACAATAAAGACGATATATGATCCATTTATTAACGCGCGCACTAAACATAAAATAATAAAAAACATTAAAATATATATTATATTAAAACATCACAAAACACAGGCAAATAAATTATTATTAGTCTATCATAATCAAAATATAAATAAGCTTACCGGTGCAAGCGTAACAAAGAAAAAGTAGCGACGCTATATGCGTGTGCGCAGAGTTATCGAGCACCGTGAATTGTGCGTGTACAAACGCCGTGAACAGAATATACACTGACGCCGAACAGCGCCGGCGGTGCCGGGCATCCCCAACATATTCGCATATCTTATATCAGTATCGATAAACAAGTACAATATATACTGAGAATTAATATATTGAGAAGTGTGAATTAATTTGTTTGTAAAAAACAAACCAGTGTTTAATTTACGCTTGAAATCAATACACAAGTATACTCAGTTACGAATTCTATAGATTTAATTTTACATGACTGTCCAAAAAGGAATGTTACGTTTTCAGAGTTCATTATTTTCAGATTTTGTTTCAGAGTTTGTTTGTATATTTTTTTTTTTATTTCATCATATATTTTATGTGCCAGAATAGATTATAGTATAAAGGGTTCGTTAGAATCTTTATTAAAAATATTTTCTTTTTAAAAAATATTTTGTTTTTCGGCAGAGCAATTGTATTATTAATTTGTGGAATAAACTTGTTGTATTTGTATTATAGTTGTGAGTTTTTGCGAAAATTCTTAAATATAGACGGTTTTATATGAAATGCCGACATGTCATAAACTACTGGTGATTTCTCGGATACATGCTATCCCCGTAATTTAGTTCGCATGACCTATAAAATCGTAAAAAAGAAATGTACGAAAACAAAATCGATAAAAAATATTCATCATCATTCAGTTAATAAATGTAGTCATTATGGAAATTTTTAATTACATTGTATATATCATACATACAATTTTTATGTAAACATTTAATTTTTTCTTATTAAATACATTTTCCCCCCTGCATAAATATAGTGTTTGAGTCCAAGAAAAATTATAGCTTTACACCAAAACATGTTTTAATATAAAATTTCTATTTATTTTATTTATAACTAAAAATATTGTTATATTTATATAAAAAAATGGAACCTACGAAACTAATTTTCTTAAGCCTGCAATTTAATCCATTATTTACCTTTTAAACAAATTATCTCAAGTTAATATGGAAAGAATGAAATATTCATTAAAAATTATTATTTTTTATTTAACTACCATAAGTACGACTACAACGATTAAATAAATCAGATTTTAAATACGTAATTGTTAATCCACATTATATTATTTTAAACTGAAATGATTATTTTTAGAATAATCTGCTTAAAAACAAAAATATTTTTAGACGAATTAAATATTTAATGGTATATTACATCTTGTTTAATCAAATCTTCTAAATGCCGCACAAAAATATAAATTTGGGATGTATTTTTTTTAATTGTAATTTATAAATAAAAACTAATACACAGAAATCAGTCTTGCTAATATTAGAACAATAAGTTATGTAAAAGGTCGCAGAAAGAGGCGTTTAGGGGCAACGGGGACTAGATGTCCTATTGCTAAAAATATACCCTGTCAGATCGACCTTCACGCGGTTGCCATTAGAAACCGTAATTACTAATTCCTGGTAAATTCATCGTTTTAAACCAACTGACCTAGCTTTATCGTCATCTATCTTCTCCCATTATACAAATGCTATTTTTATAAATTGTTTATAAGATTATAAAATATTTTACGTAGGTACAGATAAACAATATTATTATTATATTTTTTTTATACCACTTAGAATGGCAAACAAGCTGACGGCTCATTTGATGAAAAGTGGTAACCGTCGCCTATAGACATGAGCAGTACCATGGACTTAACAGAGCATACTGTTTCGCCCATGATACCCTCCATGCGTTGCCGATCCTGAGGACTCAGACGTTATTCCACCGTACCCTGTAAATTCACGCCATATCCCACCCTTCAAACCGAAACACAGCCATGCAAACACAATAAATATTTCTGCTTTATAATAAATAAGTTCTATACTTATTACACATAAGTATCTCTTGCTTCAGCTACAAGTGGCGCTCTGTCACAACTAGGTTATGTTTCGATATACGTATTCAAAATTTCCACTGCATAATCACATTAAACGAAGCGCAGATTAAATTACTGTTGCTTTGAAACACGAGCAAATTCTTTGGTATGGTTTTGATAATTTGTTGAAAATATTATATACCCATACTTGTTTTAGAATAGAATATAAATAACCTTTATTCAAACAGACATGTTTACAAAACCTTTTATGTTGTAATTTTTTTTTTATGGAAGATAATGGAATAGTAACCCCGCCTGCGCTAATGGGATACGCTGGCGGAGCACCAGTGAAGGGTGATAGATGAGAATGAAAACAGGCCAGTTAGCCCATCATGATGAATTCATCAGGAATTAACCATGATAGTTTCCAGGGAGAACTGCAAGGAGGTCGACCTGGTTGGGTATATTGCTAGCAATGGGATTTTTAGTCTCCATTACTAACAATCCCTTTCCCCCCGAGTACTAATAGTTATACCAATCCGAATCCATTGATATGCTAGCCCTATTAGGTCGACCTCTACGTGGTTCCCCTTGTGATGGTTTCCATCGTGAAAAGTTCTTATTGAATTCGTCATGATGGGCTAATTGACCTGCTTCATCCTCACCTATCATCCTTCACTGGTGCCCTGCCGGTGTATACTGATAGCGCCGGTGGGGTTACCACTCTATTATCACCCACAAAAAAAAGTGTTAGGCAAGCTAGGTGGTATGAGGTTTTGTTTCGAGTTTTCAATCTTTTACACTGGTGTATTATACTAGGTTTCCTCAGTGCGCCTCTTACGGATTCTTATAGATGAAAAGAGGTGAATTCGAATAAAATGATGTGTATTTATTAAAAAACAAAAGAAAACAAATCATCATTATCATATCTCTAAAATTACTTTTAATTAATATAGTGAATGAGATATATGATAAAATTAAACGTATCAATATTTTTTTAGGGCATATCCCAATATATTTTTTAATTTACGAACATCATTTCACGTAAGTTCACCTCTTTGTATTATTTCACCTGATTTCATATACAGGAAAGGCTAGAGCGGTAGGTAAAAGACGAGAAAGAATTACATTGTACTAAGACTATATATATTCGTACTATTGTTATTATAAATATGAAAAAATAATATGAACATACACATGTTTGAGTAGGTACTTAGTTTATATAGCTTAACAGCTGAACCGATTTTAGTGAAATTTGGTATGGGATTACTTTCTTTCTTATCCACTTTGCATTGGTACAAAAACTTTGAAATCTTTGAACTGGCACTAAAAAGATTGCGCCAATGTTTAATATTCCAAATTTTAATTTTTTTTTTTTTTTTATCGAACAATCGAACAGAAGAGGTTAACGAATTTACTGGTTGTGGTTGTAATACAACTATGTAGTATGCAAAAAAATATGGAATCAATAAATAGGAATTGATTAAACACGAAATCGATTGAATTGGTGAAAATATCACTTAACATAAATACACATTATTCTTTATTTTTTATATTATTATTCAATCGAATTTTCTTTCTTTGAAGTCGGTTGAAAAATATGCACGTTCATAACCTACACAAAAAAGTTATAACTGCATGGCCCCAGTAAAGACACGCACGCCCACTGTTGCACGAAATATACCAACAACAAAGAGAATAAATGTATCCATTGTTTGCTACGATTCTTTTATTTTTAAAATAATTTGCATGACAACAAAGCGTTAAGATCGTTATCGTGAATTATCGCGAAGTTTATTTTTAACACAGAATGCGTTTAGCATCATTGTTAAAAGCTTCCTACTTGTTCTTCATCTATTTTGTTGTTTTTTTTTTTAATGTTCATTATTGGCAGTGTCTGGTATATCAAGACCTTTCTAGGGTGTAAGTTGGTCAAACGCGATACTTGAGAAGCAGCAGAATTACTTGACAAATATTAAACTTAGCTAAAAAATAGAATAGTAAAATCGGACACTGTTTGGATATTTAAGTAATTACGTTGATGATGATGATAAGTAATACTAATACAAACCAAGTAAGGAATAATTAATTTGTAAGTAGGTTTTTAATGAAACTAGACAGGATTTGATTATTTTTTTATTTAGTTTAAGTGTGAAATAAATTAGTTAGGCCGGTGCTTTTACTTTAACTGTTTATTAATAGAATTAAAAAATAAAAGTAAATTGAAATTGATGTTAAATAATTTATCAATTCAATAACAGATGGCAATATTAAAAATCAAATACTAAATAGTTATACTATTTCATATTAGATGGCGCTAAAATAAAAGTTGTATAGCGCCATCTGTTATATAATAGGAATATTATTAAGTAGTCTTAGTAAATAAATAACACTAAATGTCTAGCATATTATGTATTTAAAAAAAACTATTATAACTCCATAGATAGCCCGGTAAGGTATCAGTTTCAGTGACACGATCATAGTTGTCCTCTTAGAAGAAATCAAAACAAAGGAGTTTTTTTTTATGGATGAAAATGGAATGGTAACCCTCCTTGCGCTATCGGTATACACCGACGAGGCACCAGTGGAAGATGATAGGTGAGAATGAATACAGGTCAGTTGGCCCACCATGATGAATTCGACAAGAATTAACCATGATGGTTTCCAGGGAGAACCGCGTGGAGGTCGACCGGAGAGGGTATATTGCTAACAATGGGGCTTATATTACTAACAATTCCTTTCCCCAAACAAAGAAGTTACATCAGAGATTCTACCCGTGCTTCCCTAGAAAAGATGCAGATAACCAGCAATGATGATGCAACAACACACCACAGTGTTACGTTTTGCACTAATTCAGATTCACTTGGTTTATATTTATCCTAGTAAAGCTAATAGACCTGTTATAAAGTGTCTAAATTATTATAACTATGACAGTGACCCTTGCGTAATGTATAGAAACACTCAGATATTTACCGTCATAAATCTATAATGCAGAATATAAAAAAATTAAGCTACCATAATATTGAATAGGATATGAATAAAAGTCGAATGTGATTATGGAAGGCTATGATTGTAAGGCCAATTATTTATAGCTAAAGGTGGCTAAAAATATGAATATATCATATTTTTTATTAATCAATATAACAATTTTCGTCGTACATATAGCATGTCAATATTTATATTATAATTTTTAATCTAACAATAATTATTAATAATGTTCAATAATAATATCTAAAACACAAAATAAAAATAACGTCATTAATAAATAATTAAAATTTATTTACATGTCAATAATGATGAATATAATATTTAGAATTGGAAATTTCAGACTTAATACAATTAAAAAATAAATAAATAACATCAAAAATATTGGCATTTAGGTACATGATCACCTACCTAAAAGGATGTTGCTCAAAAAAGTCTGTATTTTATTTTTAAATTTGTTTCTTGACATTTGCGTTATTATTTAAGGTAGTTTGTTGTTACCTTTTTATTTTTATATAAATATGATATTTCATACTTTCTGTAAGTCGCGGTTTGGCATTTCAAATTTGTCTTATATCTGTAATTCATTTAATTTTACCTATTGTGACTTGTATAAAGATTTACGTTACGATCGCTTCAATTTTGTATGATCGTTTGATCGATTAATTGTGTATGGAAATCTATGTTTTTTCACTATCTAATAAAAGCGCAGTTACATCTTTAGTACGATTGTCTAATTTCAAATTTACAATCGAGCTACTAATCCATGTGCAGTTTAATAAATTTTAAAATTATGAGCGAACGTAAATTATGTACATTATCACATAAGATATACATATGTATATATATACACTAGTAGGATAGAATAGTACGTGTATACCAAATTTTAAGACGATTGTTTGAGCCGTTAAAATGAGTTTGATTGTTGCACTAACTCATAACTAACAAACTAACAAACTCATTTTTACATCCTGTTAATATTATTATAAATGTGAAATCTTACGAGAATAGGTGGATGAAATTTGGTAAACGAGTAGGTTTTATACTATTTTAGCACATAGGATACTTTATGTACTCATTCATATGGAAGAATAGTTTACAATACTAGTAACAGACTAAGCGTATCCCACGAAATTTCCAAATAATGAATGGTTTCCGATAATACTAAACACACGTTCTCTTAGTTATAGACTACAATAAACGAAATTTCGAGACAGTATTTAAAAAAACGACTATCCTCACATACAATATTCATTATTAGAAAATAATTCTCAAAGATAAACGAATGAATGAATGAATATCCTCTTTGCAGAAGATGCAGAGGCATTTCACTGCCTTAGTTCAGATACATCAAAAGCTTGAATACAAGTTCAACATTGACAGATAATACAAAAAATATAAAATCTTTGTTATTCATTGCAGAGCAATGACCTGCTTTTGTCAATATTTTAAGAAATATTAATTAATTTTACTTATTTACAAAAAAATATTAAACAATATCCAAAAATTTATTAATCTAAATCGTTCACCAATTTTGTCATGTTTGAGTCCCTTTTTTATGAAGCAAAATGTACTTGTTACAACTACAAAATCAGTCGATAATTATTATTTATCTTTATACCAGGTAAAGAACCTTAGCTATAGCTATGTGTATATATGAAATTAAGAAAATTGAGCTAATCATACATACTTATACATTCAACAATGTAGATTATGTACCGACATAATTAATAACAGTCAGAAGTCAAGGAGAACAGCCCCTTGTAGCCAGCCTTTAGTCCTTGCTCCAAGCAATTCCTTCTTGGAATCTCCAGTAACATTAACCTTGATGTGACATTTAATCTTTGCGGTTACTGGCAATTTAGCTTACACACTTATACGACGAGTGGAAATGCCTAACATTTTATAAAAGCTAACATTGAAAAAAAAAATTACGGTAATTTGCAAGTTCTATTTTCAAGTTAGAAATTTGCAAATGTTTTGATACGATAAATGAATGTTATTGACCTGAGTCTTGGATAAATCTGATGACTTACAGATTCCAGAAGCCCTAAATATCGTTGTGTAGGTACTTACATAACATAATAAGGGGGGGGGGGGGAAGATTGTTAGTAACGCAAATTACTAGTTCCATTGCTAGCAATATATTATACCCTCTCAGATCGAGCTCCACGTGGTTCTCCCTGGAAAGCATCGTGCTGAATCCCAGGTGTATTCATCATGATGGGCAAATTGACCTGCCTTTTCATTCTTATCTGTCATCCTTCACTGGTGCCCCGCCAGTGTATACCGTTAGCGCGGACGAGGTTGCCATTCCATTATCATCCATTAAAAAAAACATAACAAGGTCAGCAGCAGAATTGGATAAACATTGTATAAGGTCAACATTAATTGAATTCAAATGACATAATATATACTATGGAGAATATGGATTTTGTAAATCTAAAAGTTTTACAAACTTTTGATATTAGGCGTAATAGAATTTTTCTACTTCATGGCCACATGTAATAGTTGTAGTCTATTTTTTAAATTTATATTTTTAAACATATCATGCGTAACATACATAATTTTCAGATCACAATCTTAATTGGTCAATGTATATATAACTTTATCCGCCAAAACTGGTTTGATTTTTTTATTATTATGTAATATAATATTGCTGCCCACGCTTTACTGACGCAGCACGTTGATATATATGATTACCTGATTGTACATCTGTAACCATATACGAGTATCTAGTTATTGTTCTTGATATGTAAAACAGAGTTTATATATATATATTTTTTTTGTATTTAGAATGTGTTTTTACCATATACCAGTGCACAAAATGAACAAATAATTAGCTAGGGATAGAAAACTGATTTTGTGTTAATTGATTGTACAAAAATAAATAAAAAGAGACAATACTGTGATTTGTATTAAATATATGCTAAACTTAACTTCTTAAAATTAATAAAAGTTGTACGTATTTTAATTTATGAAAAATTTTAAGTTTCCTATTTTATATTTTCTATGTGAAAATGTCACTATTGTCATATACATATAATTTTGATCATGTTTTTCGTACCTTTATAATTACTTATATACGTACATATATTTTTAATGATACAATGATACGAACGGCAAACAAGTTGAAGGCTTGCGTTATGAAGAGTTGTAACCGTCGTCTATAGACTTGATTCAAGTCACTGGAACAATACTATGGGGATTACAGAACATATTATTATGTCCATTGTACCTCCCATGACCACACACCTACTCGTTTATATTATGAATTTTACACATTTACGAATCTAAACTAAATTACATTTTATTAAACTTTTGAAAGGTATAAGTATTAATACGATATTTCGTCAGGTGTAGTAAAGGTAATATGTGACTTAAAACAATATTTACCAGTAGAAAATATTAAGCATATCATGAACATTCTTAATTAAAATGGAAAGTTATGCATTCCTTTTTAGTCGTTCTCGATCAATAATAACAAATGCAATGAGGCAACATATTTTTTTTAATATTTATAGGCTTGTTCTACATCTTATGTCAAAAGAAATATACAGTGGAATAATAATAATAATAAACTCTTTATTGCGCACAGTAGAGATGTATACAAGGAGTATTTATACAGAATGTGCATATACAAAAGGCGGCCTTATCGTTAAAAGCAATCTCTTACAGACAACCTGGAATATAGAACCTCCTTTTACGAAGTCTGTAAAAATGGACATCTATACAAATTACGTTGCTTTTTGCGTCACGAAGAAAGTACTTTTTGACATTGCAAAGTCATTTTACTCTACTGGCAACTATCCAACCTACAAATATACTGTGATGTCTATTTTACTTCACTGTCAAAAAAAAACATGGTAAAAGCCATTGTTTTTAAGATGTAAATATGCAACCTTCATTGTTTATATTTTCCATATTTAGTAAAAAATCTTATCATGACTTTTACCGAAATCACTAGTAATAAAAATTAAAAATGTAAAAACATTATTTAAACAAAAAAAAAAAAAAATTGTAAACGGACAAAATATAATATTTACAATTAAAAAAAATGAGAATTTTTTAAACAACTTTGAATATATTTTATTATGCTCTTTGAAATTACGAGTATATTTGCCTATATCATAATCAAATACATACACATGCCAAATTTTATTAACATTCTAATATTTGTTTTTTCTTTTATTATTTCTAACTTAAACGCGAACCTGCAGATTACATGGGTATTTTCATTTAAAATACTTTGGGAATTCATTCTCACATGTGTCGAGTATCATTGACTCACCACACACAGTCCTACGCTACGTGGTCCTACAACATTGTGGACCGAGTGAGAAATGCGCGGCGCGCGCAGTCTGATTCCTTCTGCACAAAGTGATACTCGTTTTGACGCTTATAGAACGCTAATAAAATCAGCTGTTTAACCTTTTTATAAATAACAATGACATAAAAATAACGGAATATACAAATTAGTCTTTGTATTGTAAATAATTTTGAGCGTATCGGTCGTTTTTGCGGTTACGATCGTGTCAAGCTTTTTCAAGTTAACAATAAAAGTCTATAGTGTGTTTGACAACAATAACAATGCCAGCGGAAACTCAAATAGAGCCGAGAGTGGTGCATCGCAAAGTCACACCGGAAAGTGAGTAATTTACGATTGTTTATTGGCATTTTTATATATAAATATACCTATACATATTTATCAAACTTTATTGCTTTTGTTTTGTCTTGTAGGTAGATATCATGTACTTGTTTTAACCTTAAATGTAGTAGTACATTTTAATTCAATTACTTTTTATTTACGTAATTTTATTCACTATTATACCATTATATTAATTTTTTTATTTAATATATTTTACTTGTAATGTGTAGGTAGTGTCTTTGTTCTGGAAAATCACGATAATAGCATTGAAAACCATTTATTTTTTTATTACTTTAACTAGTAACCCTTCTCGGCCTCATGATTCGGTCGTAAAAAAACCACATAGCGTTAGTTTTTCCGAATTTATTACATATATACATACATATTACAGTAATAGTATAGCAACTTGTTTAATGGCCTATGAAGACGAGGAAGATTTTGCTTGTAAACAAAATTTCTCTTTACATTGGTATGTTTTATATATTTTTGAGTCCTACAAAAAGCAATTTTTGGCAGAAACCAGTTTAATTCGGTCGTAAAAAATAAAATCGCATGTTACGAGCGCATGTATTTTGTAAGTATACGGCTCAGACAAGGTGAATTTTGTGCTCACCCAAAAAGTCCTAAATTTCGCATAAAATTTATGCAGGCTTCAAAATTAATGTGAAATTTGATAAAGACTATACGAATATAAATGAAATCGATCCAGGCAACTTAAATAACATTTGCATAAAAACATGTGTCCGTGGGTTGCAACTAGTTAAATCTAATGTTCTTTGTAAACGGAGCAATAAAATGTAAATAAATAAACCGCGGCTTTGCCTGTATGCATTTGAATAAAAAGTGTCCCATATATTAATCTGTGTACCAACGTCATACTTATCTTTTTACCTGCTTAAACATTCATGCACCCAAATATCTTTAAAAACTTTCATATTTGCTGGGTGAAATCAAAAACATTTACATCCTTTTGAGATATTGTTCTGCCGATAAAGCTGTCCTTCCATATGAGCACAGCGCTTTCAACTGTCAATTTATATGAGAAACTAAATTTTTTGTCGTGTTTCGACGCATGTTTCGTCGAGAAAAATGTTTAGTTTTAATGGATTTTTTCTCTTTTAAAAGGATACCATATTTCTAATTTCACTTTGTATGACATAACCATGTTTAATATTATAAACATATTATTCTAAACTAATATTATAAAAAAGGCACGATTTCATTATTATTATTTTTTTATATTGGGTAAATTCAAAAATAACTTGATCGATTTTAAAAATTATTACATCTATTGAAAGCTATATTGTCAGGGAGTAATATAGGCTGTATTTATTTATCAACAAACGGGGTGGGCCGTTTGTCAGTATAGTAAATAACATTTGATATGTTGATATGTGGGTGGTCACTACAGTAAAGTAAATAAATTAAAAAATATATATGTCTTCTATTAATATCGCCTACGCTATTGATATACATTAGTAGGGTACCAGTAAGTGATCAAAGGTGAGAATGAAGGTTAGTCAGGTGACCCATTGAGGATTTACTAGGATTTTAACCATAATAATTATCAGAAAGAACTGCGTGGTGGTCGACATGATATAGTATAATATTAGTAATGGCGCTATTCTAAAGAACTATAGTATTGTGCCATGTATCTCTAACTCTCCAAGTATTGCCCTTAAAACTAGAGCAAACCGATGTCTGTATCTAGTGGTAAAACGACACGTGTGAGGTAGGCATACAAAAAATGTCAACATGGACTACCTACCCCATGCTGACTTTTTTGTACGTCTGTTTCAATAGAATGTAAATATAAACAAATTTTGTTAAAAGTAACACAAAAACACTCTCTTAATTGAATTAGTAACAAATCGAAACATTCGATTAATACATATTTTATTTGTACTACTATTCACATAATTTAAATTATATTGAAAAAATAATAAAATAAAAAAAAAATCAAGGAAAAGTTGTCGTTTACGAGTAGTTGCATTTTAATTACGATTATTACTGAGTTTCATTAATACAGTTGATCCCCAACAGACTGTCTTATGATAAGGAGAATTATTAGTTTGTTTACATTTTTATTAAGTTCTATTTAAATGGACTATAATTTTCCTTCAGGTGTATGTAGTTGTTTATTTATACTTACCATACTATGTATATCTTTAAAAACTAATAACAACAGCAAATAGTGATTTATCCAAATATCCATTTTTTTATGGGTGATAATGGTATGGTAACCCCGCCTCCGCTAACGGGATACGCTGGCGGAGTACCGATGAAGGGTGATAGATGAGAATGAAAACAGGCCACTTAGCCCATCATGATGAATTCATCAGTAATTAACCATGATAGTTTCCAGGGGGAACCGCGAGGAGGTCGACCTGGTTGGGTATATTGCTAGCAATAGGATTCTCAATCTCCATTACTAACAATCCCTTCCCCCCCCCCCCCCCAAATATCCATTGTCCATGATTACATAGAATGAGTCAAACTGTTGTATAAATAGCAATATATACCTACGGTGACGTTAATTACTAATAAAGAGAATAATAAATATAAACTGCTATCTATTATTATTGGATTGTTTTTTATACATTTATATCGTATTAAACAATATATGAGACATACTTATATAGCAATTAGATATCAATATAGTTATAAGGTATTTACAATCATATCATATACCCAATAATTATTTTAGAATATAATTTTCTTATTTTAATAATATTGGTAATTAGTTTGTATTCCCTATTAATAAGTTGTTCAAGTTATGATACTATCTATATGTGTTTTTTATGCAATTTAGAATGGCAAGCTGACGGCCCACCTGATGGAAAGTGGTAACCGTCGCCTCTAGACATGAGCAGTACCATGGACATAATAGAGTATACTGTTTCGTCCATGATACCCCCTATGCGTTGCTAATCCTAAGGACTTAAGTGATATTCCTCTGTACCCTGTAAATTCACTGCCATATTCCACCCTTCAAACCGAAACACAGCCATGTAAACACAACTACTTTACGGTAGAAACACGTAAGGGACAGAGGTGCCCAAGCAAACAACTTTTGTACAAAGTCTCCCTCTGGTATTTGTTTATTTGTCTGTAACACTTTATTGTACAGTAAACTCTTAATTATAGGATACAGAGTTGTTAAGAAAAGAATATGTATAATGGCGGACGTATTCCATAAAAGGGTTTTCAGTTTGCTAATTCTATAAAGTTACAGTCATATATTGGATTTTGGACGTCGATCCTTCAACATAATAATTATGTAGTATCCACCAAATATTCCATATAGGCAGTACCAATTTAATTTATCATTTATAATAAATCATAATGGACGTATTATACTTGTAATAAAACAAAGTTCAGTATATATATGAACTAGCATGAATCACTTCTCTATTAAGAGGACATTGGCACGACTTGACTATAATAACTGTCTGTGAGATATTGTAATCAAATGATGGATTCTATAGGGGTACCGCGTGGAGGTCGATTTCACAGAATATATTCCTAATAATGGTGCTACTAGTCTATTACTAACAATCTCTTCCCCCAAACATTTAAGTTGGTGAGAGGCAAGGATATGTTGTTTACTTTATGGAACGAATGATGGTATGGTGGTGTAATGGTGGCAATTAATGTATTCAGTCCGTTTCATGGTAAATGACCACCGCAGCTTATAAATGCTTGCAACACCATTAATTGCGATGCCTATTTAAATATAAGGTGGTAATGTTTTGATTTCGTAATTGTAATTTATATATGGAGTAATGTCTTACGGTCGAAGGCAAGTATGGCCATCGCAGATCTGAGGGCCTACCATGAAGTATTTTCCGAAATTTCGGGGACGAACGAAACAGAAATTTGATGTTAAAATTACATAATACATGTTGTTTAAAATTATTAAAAATGTTAAAATATCACTCCTTTGGACTATTAGAATAGGATTTATGATGAACGAAATGTTAAGCTCCATTTACTGGGTCGATTTTGATACGAACAAAAACACGAAATTGAGCACGAAATTTCGGAATTTCATTTCATGGTAGACCACCTGATATAAATTAGTCCTCGATGAGATATAAAAGTGAAATTACAAGCTACAGAAGTAAAATACCATAAGCCTCCATAATAACAATGCGTGAGGGGTGCCTTTTTTTATTGGATAATAATAAATGGCAACCCCGTCTGAGCTAACGGTGTACGCTGGCGGGGGATACCAGTGTGAGATAATTAGCCCATCGTGATGAATTCACCTGGAATTAAACATGATGGTTTTCAAGAGGGACCGCGAGGAGGTCGCCCTAACAGAGTGTATTGCTAGCAATGGAGAAGCTAAATTCCCAATACTAAATAATTTAAAATATTTCAGATTTATATGAAGATATATTTATACAAAGTTATAAGGGCAGTATCCATTCAACAATAAAATATATTTCTAACTTACAATAAGTATACAGTTTATTGGTCCATTAGATGTACAAAGACTGTCAAGTAATGAGTGCATTAAGTTAGCCCGCAATTACCGTAACCACAATGCGTATTGAGCGAGCCAGTGTGTAATGTATGTACTTGGCATATTTTCTTTGTTAATTAATTATGTATAAGGTGTATTAATTTTTACGATTACTATGCGTTTAAGAATTTACCATTACAACGGATTCAATTATGGATTTATTTCTTAATGTTCAAAAATATTTTAATCAAGGTAGAATGTACTCGTAGGGCATAGAAAAGATTATACAGTAAAATATATATTTTTATATTTATTTACAATTACTAATAACTATATTTAGCATTTTAAATTAATATAAATAGTTGTAGTTATATTATTAAAATATATATTAATAAATGAAGATATTTTTTCAGTAAGGGATATACAGTTTAATATTTTTTTTATACAAGTTATAATGGCAAACAATCTTACGGCCCACCTGATGGAAAGTGGTAACCGTCGCCTATAGACATGAGTAGTACCATGGTCA